GGTCGGAACAACAATGCCAAGTATAATGGCGTTTATTTTAAGTTTCCCGTTTGACGCGTAATTGCGACTGTGGCGATCGTTTAAAAACGCGGGCACGTTCGACAGCTAGACCATTACCCGGGGACAAGAGGGTATGTAGCAATAATAATAATAATAATAATAATAATAATAAAATAGTAAAAAATGTCGCGTTCCCGAAGAACGACGTTTTGGTACTTCCGTTCGGATAACGAGTGATGCAATATCCCCGAATGCGCTGCTGCTGCTCCACGGGAGAGTGCAGCTATAACAGGAGACGCGCGGTTTGTTTCACGGAACGGGCTGCTGGGACGGTAATATTACAGCGACAGAGTGGGAGATGGTTTTTAAAAGAAACGAAAACACGGGTCGTTATTCGACTCGTTTGATGTCGACGAAAGCGGGGGAATTGTGGTGGTGTGGTATGGTGTGTGGGGGGGGGAGTAGACGAGACGTTAATAATACGTGTATTTGGCAGTTTCGACCGGAAACATTTTAAAAACAAACCGAACGGCAAACGCGTAGGTATTAACGGAGAGTTGCATTTTCCTATAATATACTGCAGCAACGGATTTTTTATATTGCGAATCTAACCGGAAAATGTAACAAAGTGCAATAATATTGGGAATCGACGGTATTCGAAACGAAAAATTTAATCTTTAAAAATATGTTACCGTGTGTTTATCGATTATGGCCACGAGAAAAAGGAAAAAAAAGGATTTTTACCAAAAAAAAAAAAACTTCAAGAAATAATATAATATTAAAGGCCTCTCATATACACAATATGATGCAGTCGGGTCGACGGATGGTCTAACCGAATCGGGGGTTGTGCACAGACGGCACAACTAAGTACATTGAATTTTAAATAATTGTATAAAATCTTCGAGACAAAATGTGGATAAAACTTAAACGTATATAAACGCGTTATCGCATCAATGTCCACAGACCGACTGATAAGCGAAATTCACCTGACAAAGCTGACCACAAGATCCGATTTAGTCAGTTGATCGGGCGGCATGGCCACCTGACAACCCGACGAGATTTTAATCGGACGACGGACACGATCAAGTCTACACACGACTTGATTGTTGATATCTGAGCCGACCAGATCTTATAGTATGTACAGGGGCCTTGAGCAGGGATGTAGTCCTAAAATTATTTGTGAGTATGTGCTTAAAACCGTATGCTAAATATGTGACAGCTTTAGGGAGATTTTTTCATCAACCCCTCCCCCCACCTCTGTTCAGTTATATAAATTAATAACAAATTATATTAACTTCAACAATTTAATTAATATTATTATAAAATGTATTTATTTACCAAATACATAATATATAATAGCAAATTAAAGTTATAGAATATTCTATAATTTTTGTTTTAAACTTTCTTTTTTATTTCTATTTATTTTTCTGGATCTATTTTCATCAGACGTTCCATGGTTTAAAATTTAAATTTTAACATAGTCTTCAGGATTCCATATACACAATGGTGGACCATTTATGTTAATCAGCATCAGATTTGAAATATTGTTGTAATAGTTAATCTTGAGCATATGGCAGTACAAATAATATTCATCAAGCTAAATCCACGTTCGTATTTCGCTGTAAAATATTGGATTATTTTAATTAAATTATTTATTTCATTTAGTTCTTCAATTTTATAGGTTTCTTAATCAATTAGTATTCAATATAGGAGTACAGTCAATAAAATTATATTTTTAGTTATCCGATTTTAATGCTTTATAATTTGTATCTCTTCTACTCGGACAGTTGGACATGATAGAGAATAAAATGATTACTACTTACTGACATGAAACAATTTTTGTGAAGTTGGTATACGCACGTTTTTCAGCGCAAACTTGCGGTCTCCAGTTTTTTGCGCATACCTTCCACTACATCTCTGACATTGAGACATTATATGTTTTCAATGTGTACTCCGAAGTAAAAAAGACCAGTGCACACGTTTTCATAGTTCGACTCGTAATATAATTCAACATTTGTACTACTAGGGCTGTATAAATATTTTCTTCGAAAAATGCATTTCGTTTATTTAACTTGTGACAATTTCTTGTTAAACGTAATATATATAATAGTTTAAACTGCTACGGATTTCCAAAGAATTACGATACTTCTATTTTGCATTCGTTTGCGTTTTAGACATTCTCTCTCCCCCTCTTATCTCTGATGCGTTTTACGGTGTTTTCAATCATATTTCCGTAAATTATTTCTGTTTTTCGATTTATGTGTTATATATTCAGTCAACGCGACTCATGTGTCTAATGTATAACCATACAACAATGTATTTTATTTTGTTTTCTGCCCGTGAACAAATTTTCCATCAGAATTCTTGCTCCAATCGAAAAAGTGACAAGAGACCTTTTTTGTTGAATTTCGGATCCAGTTGGTGTATTAAGGAAATCGTTTTCCAAACGTTTTTCATATATTCATTTGTATTATTAATAATAAATATAATACATTTACTACAGTACAAATGTCGTTGTTTTCGATTTTGTTTTTCTACCAGAAATTATGCACCAAAATTCAAGTGTAGCATTTTTTTCCGAAAGAAAATTTTGTAGGAAAGACTGGTAAGTTTCGGCATTCCATAAATGCATTACCGGTTTCGTTTTATTCAATTTTGATTTTTTGTAATTAGGTTAAAAACAATCGTAGAGGACTGAATTATCCACAGAATATTTTTATTAGCTTTTCTAAACGTGTTTTTATTTTTATTATTATTATTATTTTTTTTTTTGAAAATAATTTTAAATACTCATAATTATCACATTTACAGCGCGTTTTCCTAGCTGTTTTCCGGCGCTCGTCAAATCCGCCGAGCGGTCATAATTATCGCGCGCGCGGTACGAGTGTATTTCTATTATAATGCCGAATGATGTGCAGTGCCCGTACAGCGTAATAATATTCGAAATTACGCGCGTTCGACGGCGTATATATATATGTATATAGGTAACCACTAACCATATATATATATATATATATATAAATCGCATTGTCCGGTTATATCCGTATTGTACTTCGTATATATTATTGTATACGCCTATACAACTATACATGCGGTACACATATTATTAATACGATATATCGTGCGGTACGCCCCGGAGTCGGTCGCGGTTGTCGATCGCCGCGCGTGATCGATCGTTTTCCATCAATCGCCGTACACGGCGGACCACAGACCCGTGTGAACGGCGCGCATAATAATAATAATTGTGCTGCACTATCTTTACCCGTAACACGCAGCTATAGTTCACTATACAGAATGATTTTTTTTTATCACGCACCAGCAATTATCTCGGAGGGTTTTAAGTGAATTTGATTTCTGTATTTTCTAACCATTGTGGAATCGTTTAAGCTTTATTTTAATTTTTTACCCCTAATCCATATACCTTAAATAAGCGCATACTTTTTGTGACATGCACCACACTAATATCAGATTTGCCGTTTATAAGTCATTACAGTTTAGAACGTAGAACGGAGAAGTAGAGAAAGGTGCATAGATAAGCAACTTATGCTTCTCTACTCCGCCGGTCTACATTCTAAACTGTTACAACTTATAAACGGTAAATCCGATATTAGTGCGGTGCATATCAACATTTCTAGAAAAATATCCTCTATTCAAATCTGTGTTCAGAAGTGTTCTTTGTTTTGAAATAACAACGATTGGAAAAACAGAAATCAAATTCACTTAAAACCCCTCTGAGATAGTTGCTGATTCGTGATAAAAAAAAAAATTCACCCTGTACACAGTCAATGTTAACAAATGAGATTATTATTTTTTTTTTCTTTTTCGAAACCGTTTCTCGACGACTTGTATGCCGGCCGCGAAAACGTCCGGGGCGCACGGTTTTCGATTTTCGTTTTTTCTCCTCTTTCGGCCGCACATAATAATATTATACAATATATATATATTGTATATTGTATATATATATATATATATATATTGTATAATACGTACATAACATATACGACATACGCGTGTGTATATATTATTTACGTACAAACACGATGCACCTATAATGCACGATAAACGCTGTCTGCGCACGCGCACCATCCCCGCTCAATGTCGGTACACGCGGTTCGACCGCCGCGTCATCCGTCGTAATAAAAAATAGTACGATATTATATTATTTTATAACGCGTTTTAATAACACAACAATCGCGTGTTTTGACCGAAATTAATTCAAATAAATTATCGTACCAGTTTTATATATTTAATTTTTTTTCTGTTATCAATTAACGCCGCGCGTCGTAGAATGGTACGGAATCGTATAGAACGCAGCGTTTCGGAATGCACCGGCGTCATTTGTTACGTCCGCGCGGGCGGCGGCGGGTTTATTTACGCGAGCTTTTCCGCGACAAAACACGTTACAGTCGAAATTGGCGACGAAAAAATTATAATAACAACAAACGTTATCTCTGTATACGCCGTTTACAATAATATTACTATTGGATTTTTGATGTTAAACGTGCCGGAATAAAATGTTCCCTGCGTGTACGGGAAAAATAGGTCAGCACATATTAAAATGCGTGGTACTCGTAGTGTTACACACGGCCCGTAAATGTTACGGGCTCTATCGTTGAAACGCGGACGAAAAAAAAAAATAAAAAAATATCGATTTTTTATTGAAATCTTAGGTTTTTTTTTTTTTTACGACAAACCATTACCTCACCTATTCCAACGTTTATAAGCTGTACGGGTTATATGTATATACGGCGTATATTTTCGCACGTGTAAATGGCCGGTATTGAACGATATATTTTTGAGAAAAAAAAAAAATAATAAAAAACGGTCGTCTATTTATACTGTACGGTAAACCCGTATGCTAATCGACGACATCTCGTTTTATCGATAATTTTTAACGCGTAACGTTGATTCGACTGTTACACAATGTACTGTTGCAGTGCAGAACATTATATACCTCCGAGGTTTGGCTATTAAATAACGAGACTGCGCACGTAGAGAGCGTCTCAAAAAGGTTAGGAGATACTGAATACAGCGCTGGTTAGCTGGAAATGTCTATTATGCCAGTTCAAAATTGGGTTTTTGTTGGTGCATTAATATTTTCTCTGTAGCGTTTAGAAACGAACATGTTTTTTTCTCGTGACGAAAAACATGAGCAACGGATAAACGTAAAATTTTCCCGTTAAACTAAAAAATACTCCAACTGAGTGCTATAAGTTGTTAAAAGAGACCTATAGTGAGGATTTCCTATCTCGGGCGCGTGTTTTTGAGTGGCATAAATCATTTTCTGAAGGTCGAGAGTGCACCGGAATCCAATTCAAAACCATTTTCTTCGATATCAACGGCATCGTGATGACTGAATGGGTTCCGGAGGGTCAAACTGTGAACCAACATTACTATTTGACAGTTTTGGCAACATTGCGCGAATGAGTTCGTAAGAAACGGNAACGTGAAGCGTTATTTGGCCGCTTAAGGCACTCCAGTACTCGAACACGCGTCTTACTCACTCGACTTGGCACCCTGCGACTTTTACTTGTTTTCGAAGATAAAGTCTGCCTTAAAAGGAATCCGGTTTGAGTCGATGGAAGAGGTGAAACAAAAATCGGCGGAACTCCTGAATGGTCTTACGAAAACAGACTTCCAGCACTGCTTCGAGCAATGGAAGAAACGAATGAAACGGCGTGTGGCGAGGGGAGGGGAGTTTGTTGAAGGGGAACATTTGAATGTAGAAAAATTTTTATAATAAAACACTTTTTCGTAACCAGTCTCGTTATTTAATAGTCATACCTCGTATATATAATAATATCGTATGCGTACGTCGAATATAAAACGCGACCGGGGGGCTGGGGAAAATGTAATAACATAAACTGTATGATGGACAATAATTAGAAACAAAAAAAAAAAACCATATTATCTTACTTCCTAATAAACGGTCTGTGACCTTAGAATCGTAATTATATTGTTCGTAAAATCCAGTATAATGTACCGACGTACATATTTTGTTCTGTTCGATGTTTTTAAGTTTTTCGTATTTCTTGTGATAATTACCGGAAACTCGCGCCACGCGTCCTCTATTTTAAATATATTTAGTTTTTAAACTAAAAATAAAACGATTGTTTTTGCGAAATCCAAGACGGATTTATAGAAATATTTTGAAAACAAAACTCTGCCGTTAAACATATTTACCGTATTATAATATACGGTAAATATTTTCATCGCCACTACTAAATGTATAATATCAATCGATAAAAACTTCAAACAATTGTAGAAACTTAATGGATAATCGCCTACAATATGGAATACCAAAATTCTGTTTCGAAATCGTATCCTTTAAATATATGTATAAAACGGCTATCTCGGATTTAGTAAATATGATTTGTGTGATTAGTCTTAAAAATGTATATAAAACAGAGGAATCACATAGGGGGCTGCAAAGTTTTAGAAATTAAAAACGATAACAAAAAAAAAATGGCGTATCCAACGGAACTGAAGTTATTTCAGGAGTCAGATTTTCGTGTTGTGCACCCTGTATATACGAAAATAACATATTGTATGCCTGTATATTATACTCTGTGCGTGTAACATTTTCCTACATTAACCCCTTATTACTGTAACATTTTAACGACACGGGCGATAATTACGAGGAGTTTGTCGCCAAACAAATCTACTTGAACGTTAACGTCATAATTAAACGTAGTTATTATTATATTATTAAAATTGCAGGGATTGCACTTTTGAGTTTTTTTTTTTTTTTTTTAACGTCGTTTATTATGCACGTCGTGTTGGCAAACTGGGCAAAATCTCTATGGCCGATTTTGAAATTTCACCTAGAATTCGCCAGAGTAGATAATATACTAGAATATAATATTGTTGAAAATTGCCCGAACAAATCTGACGAATTCCGGTTGAAATTTCAGAATTTGCTAACACTTTGCCGGCTCGACGTGCGTTCGTTTATTGTACAGACAAATATTACAAACACGTTTATGTAGATACTGTCATTTATTAAAAAAAAAAAAAACCCAAAAACATAATGTATTATTGCATTCGTTATTTTTGGGATTAAATAAACCACTATCTTAACGTAAAAAATGTTATGTATTCAAAACATAATGATAGACATTGTATTTTTAAGTGGGTACATTATCGAAATAATAAAATCCGTTAAAACCGCGTGAATTAGAAATCCTAAATTAAATTAAAATGGCGTGCCTTCAAAAGTATCCACCTGCAATATAAAAGTAAAACTTCTGTCATAAAAAAAACGGAGTTTTTTTAAAATCATTGGGTCATAAATTTCGTGGTACTCTGTAGTTATTTCTTTATATATATACATATAACTTTCTTGAAAACTATATTTTAGACGAATTCCGAAAACGCTCGTGTAAAACTTTGAACCATCCGGTTCAATAATAATATCCCGACGAAATTTACGGAGAACACGAAAAACCGATCAAACAGAAAATACAAAATATATACGTAAGCTTCATAATAATATTATATGATTCGAGAAAAATACTAAAACCGCGCTTAGATCCTGGGAGGACAATGGATATCATCGCCATCTCGAGAAGACCAAAAGCGGTCTTAAAAGTAGTAAAATATAACATTTTACCGTTCAAATGGAATTGTGTTTTTTTCCTTTTGACCGATTTCCTATCGTCGATATTCTTGGCAACGTTCGAAAACGGATCACGGTTTTGCGAGGTTTGTTTCCCCCCCACTACCGAAACGTTAGAAATTTATAATGATGTGCGAACAAAAAAAAAGCTAAAAAATAATTTTTTTTGACGTTAAGCCAACGAAATAATAAACGGGGAAGGATTTGACGGGTTTTTATTTTTGTATTATTATTCACACAACAGCATGTCGTTTTATGATAATTTTGATTATTTCAAAATGTTACGTTATAAATAATATAATATTATTACGGCCACGTAAACAATCGAACAATAATTTCATGTCAACTCATTTAGTCGCGAAACGCAGTACCTCGACAGTATTGTAAACGTTTAAAAACAACCGGTAAGATCAACCGAACTGGGGGGGGGGGAAGACTTGACTGAGGAGTTGGTTTTTTTTTTTTTAACACATCGGCGGATTCTTTCGGGGAAACTAAGGGGAAGGCGGGTTAAGGTAACCCCAGCCTGCGTTTTGCAGTTGGCGTATAGCCGTATAGGTAATTAGTGCGATACTTTCGGCGGTGATAACGACCGAAAAAAACTGGCTCACGAACGCGAAATTCCCGATAACCGCGAACTTCTTATCACGCGGCTGATAACCATAAAAAAAAAAAAAAAAATGTACCCGTTATTATTATGTTCACTTGGTCCACGGGGTAGGTAAACGTTTCGATTAACACGCGGGTATTGTTGGCGGTGTTATCGGGAATTTCGCGTTGATTAGTTCGAATAATTTTCGCGTTGTACAACTACACGGCCGTGTTATTGTTTCCGACGGACGGCTGACGGCGTGGGCAGCCGTTATTTTGTTATGACCACGTCCCGGATAACGGGTGCAGTGTGTGTGTGTGTGTGTCACGCCGATCGTCGTCCGCTCCGGTAGAGATGGGCGGCGACGGCGGCGGCGGTATCGATTCGGCGGCGGCGGCGTCCGCCGAACGCGGCGGTATCTCGCAGGGGCGGCGAAATAACCGGCGCGTCGTACGGGCTGCGTGTGTGCAAGCGCTCGCGGTACAGCGTAGCGGTTATTGTCGTTTCGCGCCACTGTGTATGTCTAATATAATAATGTTAAACGCGAACCGCGGCGCATATGTAGGGCAAGGACCGTCGTTGCACACACACACACAGCGAGCGATGCATTTCCACCGCTGAATATCATACGGCCGCCGCCCCGTCGCGCGCTTCTTATAACGTTATAATAACAATATAATATTACTGCTATACACCGTAATATATTATATTAATATAACAGGGCGATGTATACATACGTATAATACTATGTGCATAACATTATTATTCTTCGTCGTTATCGTAATGTTATTATTATTATAATAATAACAGGGTATAATAATACACCGAGGGGTTATCCGTGTGCGCGGTACGCGCCGATTAAATGGTATCGCGTCCGCGGCAGGGAGCAAGGGGTTTAACGGAATCCCGCAATAAGAATAATAATAATAATATTGTGTGCACGTGAGTGTCCGTCACGTTATTGTAGAATGTGTGTCGCGCGTCGTATTACGAACACAATACAATATGATCGTCTCGCGGCACAAAAGGCCAACCTTTACGCGATAAATGCCGCCGCCGCCGCCCACTCTTCCCGACCCTTTTCCGTAACCGTCTTCAACGGGCGACGTGGACGTGCAGGTAGCCGCGCGCGATGACTTTTATCGTTTAACACGGCCGCGGTAGCCGGGGTATCAGTTTAGGCCGCGCGTCTCCCGCCCCCTCCCCGGCGACCTTTTGACATTTTTATTCCCCGTCATTGTCCGCGAAATGTTACCCGGCGTATTGTTCGTTCTATGCTGTTGTTTCGTTTCGTCGTTTAGCGTACACGGCCCCCCTATTCCCTACCACTCCCCCCCCGTAACATTCGACAACAGAACGCGACGCCGAAAACGTGGGTTTTTTTTTTTTTTTGCACGCGACCGAATTTCGCCGAGCTTTTATCGTCGCGGCCACGATATCGTTCGCTGTATTTCATATTACGCTCGTTTATACCGTCCGAGCGTGACTCGGGTTTCAGGTTGTAAATTTAGCGATAGATTTCGGTCGGATATCGTTTCCAACGTAACCCACGCGGACTGGACATCACAACATTTATACAGCAAACCCACACTATTACTCCCCGTCGCCGTTTCGTCCGGTGACCTTTAACAAACGGCGGCGACCGCGGGAGCTAAGTCCCGCTGGAAATTTTCGCCGATAAACCACGTCGTCTGCAGTACATTAATTCAATTAATTCTATACGTGTACTCGTAGACTATACTGGCTGAAAATTAAACAAAAAAAAAAAAAACAAAAAAAACCGAAGAGGAATGAGAGGAAAAATAATGTTTTTGTACCCGAACTTTTTGTTGTTTTATTACAACTGTCCGTATATCACGTAGACGTCTTTAGCGGAGTGCAGCAACTGATACCCCGACGTTTTTATCAGGGTGGCGAATTAATTGCTCAGTTTCTTGTTTTTTTTTTTTTTCACTTAATATATAGGCTACATTGAATTTGGAAAAACACTCGGCTGATTGCTACCCGAGTGTGACGACCAATCGACCTGGATTTATCCGAATCGTCACTCACTTTATTACACCACAAGCTAGTTGAAAAGTATTATTCATGAATAACGATAAATGATGCTGCGATTTCATTACAAATTATATACAGGGGCATATAGGATTCGGACGGAATGGCTCCGAGGAAACAAAAAACGAAATCGGTTTAGAGTGTTGAATACCGAGGTGTTAAAAAACAGCATTATAACAATAGAATAATCGGTAATTTTGAACAAAAATTAAACATTTCTTCATATCATATAAATATTATAATAATTATCACTTCGATTATTTTATTGCAGAAATAACTTATGAGCCGTAACAGGTCATTTGATTATATATTCTCGTGTTTTTTTTTTTTTTTTATATATATATACCACGGAACTCGTTAAAAAGACGTTCCTGAAATGTTTTGTCCAATCTATATCAAACAGAATCAGCCAAAAT